CAGTGAAAAACACTATAGATTTTGGGGAGATGGTAAATAAATGATGTCTGTCTGCAGCTAGAATCCACAATACTACTTGAATAGAAAAGCATGAGGGAAGGTTACTGTATTGTACTTACGTTGTAGTCACTTTGCCTTGATAAATGCTAGTCCAACTCCTGACCTGTTACAAAATCACAGACTCATCTTCAATAAGTACTCTTCTGAAATGGAGATGTACCTACAATTTCTGTTTTTTTTTTTTTAAAAAGGGGAGAGGTTGGACAAGGGAAAAGATTCATAATGTCCTCAAACCCTTTATGAAAATAGATTGAGATTAAAGCCTTAATAAAAAAATATGGTTTCTGGATTTTTTTTTGTTTGTTTAATCCTAGCTTTGATCCATGGTGCTTTTTTTTTTTCTGATGTTTTAGTTCTAAATGTAAACCTTGTTCAATAATGGAAACACTTGCTTGCTTCTCCTCTTACTGCCGCTTCTTCTGGTTCTCTAAGAGAATTCCCTTCAGAAGCACAGAACTCACACATCCTTGTGTGTGGTGTGGAATTGTTTATAACTTCTCTGTCTTCCTCTACTGGCCATGGTTTTTATATAAATTCTATTCTAATGTAATCTGCCTCTTAATTCTCTCTTGGAGAACATTAACAATCCTTTTAGTTTCGGCAAGACAGACAGTGTTTCTTTCACATTCACTCTTTAATAAGTATTCAGCTCCTCTTTGAGGTCCATGTCTCCTGACACACATACACTAAACATATCCCAGTAATTTTCCATGATGGCAGGCAAGCGTTAGGGAAATGGTGCAGTTGGCTAGCAGCAACGATAAATTCTGTCAACCTGGTGCCATAAATGTTCGCTAGACTGTCTTTAATTTCTTTATGCAGTTGACGTTACAAGAATGTACCTAAGACTGCGGATACTGTAGTTTATGTAGAAGACTCTTAGCAATAGCGTGTTGTGGTCTATATATTTGGTAGAGGTTTCATGATGATAGCAAATGCTATTGTTGTTTTAACTGCTGGCAAAGAACATTGATTGTTATGAAAGCCTGGATCCTGACTTGAAATTATACATGAACTGTAAAATATTTTATGCTTTTGACGTATTAAGCTTCACAGGGTCATCAACCTTGCCTGCTTGTTGCCGATGATCGCAACAACTGACATTTAACTCGGCAATAAATTTATTAGAGGGATAGTTATCTTCCTTAATAAGGTTGCAGAACGCCTATCATGCTCTCCTTCAGTGAACTTATTTAAAAAGTTGAGTGATTCCAGATGGTATCTCATGTCTATTGGGCTTTAAATTTCTTGTTTTCTTACACGTTTGCCAACATGAGGTTAAGCGTACAAGATTTCCAGGTCCCTAAAGAACTGCTGTTGTATATACAACTTTAGGTTTCTGTGGCGTAGTCGACCTTTATTCTGGAAATTCCTTTCAGTCTTTGGCATTCAGAGACATTGTTAAAGTTTTTAATGTACCTGGAAAGAAAGTATTGGTAGAGTTGATGGTGTGTGTCTCTGGACCATGAAACCATGATGCTTCTTAAAAGCAAGATTTTGAGGTAAGATGAGATATGAGACAGCAAATAGTGTATAGACTATACAATATATACATAATATATATTGACTATACAATATATATATATCTTGACTATACAATATATATATATATATATAATTTTAAGTGACCGTTCAGTAATACAGAGGTATTTACCCTTGAAACTATTTGGAATTGCCCAGTTCAATATATGAAATGGTGTTTTTCCATAATATAACTTACACATAGTTTTTCAAGTATTAACATAAGCCACCTATTCCAAGGATATTTCAGCATACCTATGTGCTAGGCACTGTTCTCAGTATTATTGATATGAAAATGAATGTTATATTTATTTCTTTGAAGAGCATTGGGTAAAATGTGGATAAATAATGGGAAACTAAATAATTAGCCTAATGTAGTAAATACTAGCATAGTTCTGTGGAGATAGCTTTTGGAGAGCAATGATCATTTCATCATGTGGAGCTGCAATAGTATTGATACTGAGGAAATATTTGGGGGTTGCTCTTAAGTATGGGCCAGTAGTGTACTAGAGAGAAGATATCAGGAATGGACCCAACAAATGGAGCAGGGGTCAAAAGCATAGATATAGCAGATTAAAATGTGTATACAATAAGGAATTCTGGGCCACTAGAAAGTAGTGCATAAGAGAGTGGGAGTTGGAAAAGGCCAGGTCTTTGGAAAGATAGATATATATATGATCAGATGTCTGTAAGGCAGTAAGATTGATAAAAGAGAACTGCTTCTGAGATTTTTTTAAGATTTATTTATTTTTATTGCAAAGTCATATATATGTTATATTGTATGCTACATATTATATATTATACACATTACTAATATAAATAGTATATATATATAAAGAGAGGAGGAGAGACAGAGAAAAAGATTTTCTGCCCAGTGATTCTCCAAGTGACCGCAATGGCAGCAGCTGTGTTAATTCAAAGCCAGGAGCCAGGAGCTCTTCTGAGTCTCCCACATGGATGCAGGATCCCAAGGCTTTGGACCATCCTCTACTATTTCCCAGGCCACAAGCAGAGAGCTGGATGGGAAGAGGGGCTGCTGGGATTAGAACCAGTGCCCATATGGGATCCTGGCACGTTCAAGGTGAGGACTTTAGCCAATAGGTCACTGTGCTGAGACCTTTGAGATGTTTTTTAAAAGATTAGTTTGAATGTACAATGTTGCTTAAGTGGACATGGGAAAGAATGAATCATAAACAGGCTCAATTATTGGATGTTTATATTGAAGAACCATATGGCGAAAGACATAAGCAAAGAGTGCATAGTCACTAGCATGATAAAGAAGATAAAATGGACCTTAAGAGCAGTGATCCACTTTGGATTTTTCATTGAAGTTTACAAATAATTATAGACACACAGAACATTGCAAAAATAGTAGGCTCAGATCCCTTGCAACCATAAGGAAGTATTTCCCAATGATAGCATCTTAAAAACTCTAGTACATTATGAAATTCTGTTATGACCTGGCAGGTAAAGCCTCAGACTGTGATGCTGGAAACACATGGACAGTTGGGTAGTTATGACTTTTTAATTATTACATACAAACATATGAACAACCTTCATGTACACATTTTTGTATGTGTATAGATTTGAGCATTCTCATTTTTAGACGATTTTCTAGGAGTAAATGTCTATATTGTAAGGTAAGGTATGTTCAGTGTTTTAAGAAATGGACAAACTGTTTGCCAGAATGTTGTACTGTTTTACATTCTCCGTGGTATTGACACTGGCTTTTGCTCTAACTGTTCTAATAAATTTGCTGTCTCATTGTGATTTTAACTTGCATTTGCTTGCTGGAAATTTATGTTGACCATTTTTTTTTAAATGGACAATTTTTTAATGCTTTCTTGACATAGTTTCTTTTTTACTGTTTAGAAACATTTTATTGACTTATAATATACCTCCTGAGAACTACATAAAAGTGTCCAGATAAATGACTTTGTTGTCTTCTGGTCATACTCAGAACCAACACTCAAATGAAAAGTGAGGCTTATCAGCACCCATAGTCTTCACTCACCCCCACCTTCCATTTCTTTTGTCTTCATTGTGGGTCCAAAAAATATATTGCTGTTTTCATGGTGCAGTTCAGTATAGCTGTATACTAATTATATACTGTATATTATATTCACTTATGTTTTATTCTCTCTGTATTAATTATCACAAATAAATGATATTTGCCTTTTGGTGTCTAGCACATTTTATTGGCATAATGATCTCCATTGGCATCTGTTTTATTGCAAATGTCAGGATTTCATTCTTTTTAGTGACTGAGTAATATTCCATAGTATTTTCTTTATCTAGTCATCAATTAGTAGAAGTCTAGGTTCATTCAGACATTGCAAAATGGGCTGCTATGAACATGGGACTCGGGTGTTTCTTTTATGTGCTGATATTGCTTCTTACACCTGTTTTCCCAGGAGTGGGTGAGCTGTGTCATGGTAGATTTTTGTTTTGTTTTGTTTTGTTTTTTGAGAATTTCCCCAGTGTCTTTCTGTGTCCTCTCCTTGACGAGATGCCTCTTTACTTCTTTTGTGCATTGGCTGAGCAGAGTGTGTTGCTCGCTTCGTCCACCTCTTTCTGACTTTCTGGGCCCCCTCAATTCCAGCTTTGGTGAGGTTTGTGAAGATCAGGAACAGAATGTCCTAGAAATCTCATTGCTGCTTTGTGAAAGTTGTACTTCATCTTTCCACTTAGCCGCACTGACCCCACCAATGGCACTGTTTTTTGTTTGTTGTTTCACTAGTGGACAGCGGATATTAGGAGAAATGTTTTGTGTTCAGCCAGACTGCTGTTTCTCTTGTTCTTCCAGGAGAGGAAGAGAGAGGTTTTTTCATTTCTGTGTCTAAAGATTGGAAAGTAATTTGCTTTTATTAAATGTGTATACGCAGTTGGACTGAGAAGAAAGGGTTAATGTGGAGAGACATGAATAGGCAAATTCCTCACAAAGGGATGTTGCTGTTGATGATGGAGCAGGAGGCGCCATCAAAGGTATAAGGACTGTTAAGAGGGAGCACTCCATTCCTTTGAGATTCAGTACACTCCCAACCAACAATAACCCTTTCTACAGCAAATGCCACTTTAAAATGAAAGCCTCAACTCCTAGAGAGTATGACAAACAGCCAAAATAACAAGAAAGGAAAACTGTATTGTTTTAAGCCATGCTTGAATGAATAAATGTTTTGCAGATCACTAATCGTCAGTAACATTATTTGGAAGATTTGGGGATGATCTGGTTTGCATTAAACCTATTTACACTTTAAAATGCCTTGTAAATTAAGTCAAGCTGTGCTACAAACAGATGCTAAGAACTATGAAAATATATAGATTTTTGCTGTGTTAAGATCATTGTTATCTAAAGGCTGCAACTGACCAGATTTTGAAAAACCGCTTGGCTTTGTTTTTTTTTTTTTTTTTTTTTTCAGAGAGCTCAATCAGATGAACTGGAAAAAATTGAGAAGCATGGCCGATCTTCCAAAGACAAGGAAAATGCCAAATCCCTGGACAAACCGGAACAGTAAGCATGCTTTTAGAACTACAGCAAGGGCTCTCAGGCCATGGGTGGGCTCTGTCCCTTTGGAAAATGCAGTGTCTTCAGGAAGAACTGTCAAGAATGAGATGAGGTTCAACATCTGTTTCTATGAATTATATTGTTCCTCTGAACTTGGCTTTATTTCCTTAGGTTCCTTTATGAACTGTCACTAATCCCCAACTTTTCAGAGCGAGTATTTTGCATCCTGTTCCAGTCTACGTTTTCAGAAAGCATTTGCACAATTCGTCGCAAACTGGAATTACTACAGAAATTGTGTGAGGTGAGTTCTGGTCCAAAGAGAACTGAACATGAGTCCTGATTATTTAATTTGTTCAATCCTGTTCATATTGTAAACAAAAGTTTTCCTGTCTTTAAACTACTCTTCAGTGTGAGGGCTAGCAGTCCCACAGAAGAGAACTTTTCACCGCAAAGGCTCCAAGATCAAAGCACCAGTTCAGGTTGGCACGCGGAGTGCTACACAGCGCAGGGCCAGCGTGGCCAGTGTGTGCTGGCCTCTCGGGAGCTGTCTTCCACGGACTTTTGCCAAAGCAAAATTCTCACGTTTCATACTCCGTTCAGATATCCTACTTCCAAGCGAATGAGAGCTGAAGGCATTTTATTTACTTCCCTTCAAGTTCTGGCAGAATCTTGCAAATTGTTAATGATTATTCCAACCAAATCATTTAAGGACAGCCATATGACTCCACAAAAGATTCATGTTCTGAAAACAGAATAAGTGCTTGGCAGAAATGTCTGTTATTAACATTGAAAACAATTTGTCAAAAATCAATAGTACCATTGGTTCTGGTTGTGGTAAATCATTTTGAAAAGTGGGAAGATGTTATCAAAGATACATTTTCAGAGGAAGTGACATGGAAATTAAAATTACACTTGATGTTTTTGGAAGATGCGATGTGAACTTTTGGGGAGTAAACCTGAATTTAGAAATCTTACAATTGCCTTTGTTTCTTTATGACTTTTTCCAAATACTTATTTTGTTCCAAGCATAGGCAGGGTTAGCATGATGGCAATGATAATGTTTTATAGTAGTTGTCATATTATAAAATTATTTAATTTCTTTTCAGTTATGTCATAGGAATTGCCTAGACTGATATACCTCAGTTTATGAAAGCATGTTTAAATTCTTGTTGGGGTTGCAACTTTTTAAAGTTCCTTGGTGACTGCTCTTAAAATATACCTGATAATGTGGAATGAGAAATATTGTTAATGACTCAAAACTGTTATTATCATGTGAATTCTTGGCAATAACTTTGTATTATTCAAATAAAACCTTGTGTCAGAGAAAATTGTTCTTTTTCCTGTTTTACAGACATTAAAAAACGGCCCCGGGGTTATGCAGGTTCTGGGTTTGGTTCTTGCCTTTGGCAACTACATGAATGGTGGAAATAAGACTCGGGGTCAGGCAGATGGTTTTGGATTAGACATTCTTCCGAAGCTGAAAGACGTCAAGAGCAGTGTAAGTATTTTGTACTAATGGATGTAGGCCAATTGAGGATTAGATATTTTGGCTAATAATGACCTGATTCTAAACTAGATTTAATAAGTACCTCTTTGGGATCCAAAGCAAAAGGATTCTTTACATCTAGAGCCAGATAAAAGTCATGCCATCAGATTCATTGTGATTTAGTGAACCACAATAGTGTTTCCTAAAGTTGTTTGTAATTCCAAGTCCAGTGAATGATTATAATATTTTAAAATAAAAGCAAGCACTTTTTTTCATTCTCACGTATCTGCTAATATTTATCCTTTTGTAAAAATAAATAAACTCCATTTGTTTTTCTGTGAATTCGACAGTCGTGTTTTGTATTTTCTTCTCGGAGTTGAAGAGTGGAGGCCAAGAGGCTCATGTTTTGCAAACAAAACAATGATTAGTTATTACAAATATCATGTCAAAACAGTTCTGCTTCTCTACATACTATTTTGTTTCTGATGCTTACATGGATGGGAATGTCTATGTCTTTTTGCAGATCTAATTATGTTTTGTCCTACTTTTATAGTATTTGTTTAACATTAGTTCAAGATATTCCAACAACGCTGTAAGAGATAGAGGACTTGAGGTGGTGATCAGTGCCATAGAGTAAAATCTGAGATGATAAACAGAAACTCAGAATGATGTCCCTCTGCTACGAAGTTACTGCAGAGAACAATATGATGCAAGAATTATCAAGGTTCTTTAAGTGATTGGTTAGGAGTAAAAATAGAAATAAACGGGACTATCCTTTCAGGATAATAAAATAACTGCCCTCTGAAAAATACATCTTTTTGCTCAATTGAAAATTTGTTAATTTATGCATATGTGGGTACATATACTTTTCAGTAGTCTTTCATTGAACAGCAATAAAGATAAAATGTCCAATACTGTGCTTTTCTGAAATCCAATAGCATGGAGTCCTTTCTTAGTATACCAGCAGCATAAGAGGGCAATTTGCAATTTAATGGAAGAATGAAATGCAAAGATAAGCTTCTTTTAGGGAAGACTGTTACAAAATTTTTGCGATGAGAGCTATTTAATAAGTTGCTAAAATCTGCATGAGTTTCAATTTTTCTCTAGCAAAATGAACTTCTAAATTTATTTCGTATGGACTATTTGAAATAGTCTCATAGTTTTTATGATTATTATTGTTGCTTCTTAAAATACTATTTTATGATATGTATTTTCATAGGACACTTTAGTACATAAACTTGGTATATGTAACATATCTTCTTATTAATTCTGTTTTACAGACCTTCAGGAACAGAGCTGTTTCTTAGATGACTTTAATTCTCTGTTGCAGCAGGCTTTTGATAAACATTTTATTAGTTGATTTGTGCAGTCTGTTTTTTTGATTTATAAGTTGGAAGAAAGGAAAATGTCAAGTGGCCTAGATTGATTAGTGAAAAACTTATGTCTCATGATAGAAGTCTCCAATATATATCATATCAGACTATGTCAGAATGCCTCTAAGAATGTGAGAAAGTAATTGAAAAACATCCTGTTAAATATGAAAAAATTTTACATTTCTCCATATAACTGAGAACATTATTTTATTTATATTGGCATGAGTATTATGAACTAGCTTACAGTTACTGATATATCAATATATCTATATATCTATATCTATATATATATGTACACTTTAGAGTTCCTGCTTACATAAGATTATATTTTAACCTTTTCCTCTTGTCTATATTGTAATGAGCCTCAATTAAATTTAGCTGGTCATCCACCTTTGTATAAATACACACATTACTTAATTATTTAAGATATTAGCTACAGAACACAACATTAATGTTGCAGTAAAAATTTAAACAAAATTGAAGCTATAAAGCAAAAATTGATAAACTTACAGAGAATAAAAAAGAAGATTGCTATTTTCAGTTAAGACTCTGCTCTTGAACAATTATGCTTCCACGAAGATTAGGATTGAAACAGTGGGAACAAATTCTTCTATTATACTATCTTCTTTCAGTGTTATGACTGAGACCATTCAAATCAGAATCAACATTTCATTCTAAATGCTCTCTTTCATACAAATGTGGACCCTGAAGTTTTATGTTCTCTACAATATATTTAATAATTTCTAAACTATACTGTTGCTGGTTTTGTTTTTTCTGCCCAGGACAACAGCAGAAGTCTTTTATCATACATTGTTTCATTTTATCTTCGAAATTTTGATGAGGTAAGACAGTAGCTATGTATAGTTCAATTTTGTCATTTGTTAAATGATTTTGCAGGGTTTTTTTGTTTTTTGCTATTGATTTTCATGTGTTATTCTGTTTTATACTGATGCTCAGCTGCTTAAATTTTTTTTTCTTACTAATTAGGATGCTGGAAAGGAACAGTGTGTCTTCCCATTGCCAGAACCCCAGGATCTTTTTCAAGCCTCACAAATGAAGTTTGAAGATTTTCAGAAAGATCTCCGGAAACTGAAGAAAGACTTAAAAGGTAACTTGAACTCACATTTTCTATTTCTTCTCCCTAAAAGAGGTAGGCAGACTTCTCTATGCTTTTGAGGACAGGTTATCAGTCATAACCATGTGGAACATTGTTTTTGGTGTATCTCAAAAAATAAATATTTAGTCAGTATTATTCTTTTGTTGTTTAAAAAGTTACACGTATCAGGATCTAGTAAATGAATAGTATCAAGTTATTAAAAATAACAGTCTGTTTCATCAGGAGTAAGTTTTCATTTTATAGCCAAGACATACAGACATTCATCATGTCTTGGTTGAACACAAACCGTGTCATTGTTAAAAGATAAATATTCTCTCCCCATTCTGCCTTGCTCAAGATTTTGTCACTTTTGAGCCTTTCTGGAACCAATACTCAGTCAGAAACCACATATATTCTCTTATTAGTCAAGAAATTATCTCTAAGCCTGTTGGTGACGGAAGTTCTTTACATTTCCAGATTAAATCTAATATACACACAGGAGCAAATACATTGAAGTTTTTTTTCCTAAGTAAAAAAAAAAAATCTCTTTAGTCCTTTATCATGTGGATTATTTTTATGGTTATTGGAATTGAGAACATCTCAGCGACCTTAAGTGCTTTCTAGTACGTACAGAGAGCAAGTAAGTTAATGTAAAAGTTTGACTTGATAGTATATCAAGTACAGTGTTAAATGAACACTACTGCCTCCCTCCCCTCTGTCTAGAAACCAGCAAGTGAAAGGCATAACTTTCAAGAGACTCAACTCATTTTTAAGATTTATGTGTCCAGAGATATTGTTGTGTTATAAGATTCTTAAAGTTTTTCTAGTCTCCTTGTGATTCTTTTATATAGAGTTCAACCAACACAGCCACATTATGCATTTCTTCTGTATTCAGTGACATTTGCCATAGGCCTCCTTGATGTCAGATCAAGGTGCTGTGGATGCATGGAGAGTGATTGCCGGTGATTAGAACTGAAGTCTTGTCACTTCAGCATCACTTATCGATACTAATTGAGGTGCTTGAAGGAGTAATTTTAAGACATTATATTTATTTCATATGATATTGTATTTTAGGTAAAGCATGCATTATTGGAGTAATAGGAAAAAAATCAAACTGTAGCATTTATCATACCTCTAAATATTGTCAGTGTGTTTCAGGATTTTACCTACACACACAGAAGCATGGTAGTAAGGACATTTCTGGGGAGAGTGAAAATAGCTTCATACTATACTCAAGTATTCAGGTTTACAATGTAGAATTTAGTAGGTAATTGAGAGAAATGGTCGTCTTATTATCACCAAGTGGTTATGTTTGCTTTAATTGGTACATCACTCTGAAATGTTCATTTTCTGTTAGTACCTCTGTGGCTGATTCCTACAGTTATTAAATTTACAAGCATCCATAACAATGCAAAGTTTGTAGAATACTTAGCGCTAAGATGAGGGAGTTACTAACACAAGATAATGAGTTTGGAAAGGTCAAATAGTTGGTGTTTCTGAATACTGTTTCCTCTGAGAGCATTTCCCTTTTGCAGCAACGTGGTAGCTATAAAGGATGAAGGATTTTAGGAACACCTTAACCATTTTTGCATACTTCAGAACAATGGGGAGAGGAATTTAATCCTGAGAGTTTACACCTCATTTGGAGAAAGTTAACCCCTAAGCTTATATCTTCAAAAATAGCACTGTGTTGTATTTTCCTGGCATGGACTTTTCCCACTTACCCCTACGTTGACACAACTGAACGTCCTAGCCAAATAAATGTAAAAATGTCTCATATAAGTTAAATTTCAAAGAAATTCCCTGGATTTCTGAAAGAACACTTGTAGTACTTCTCTAATTTGTTTGACCACATAGCACTTGTGTCACAATTTGCCTGGTATGTCATATTGGCAGCAGAATACACTCTGAAATGTGCAAACCTGATTGTGTACATAGCTGAACTATGCTGTTTTCTTCTTCAGAGCTCACAGTAAAGATAGGGGAAGTAAAACCAGAATTCATGATACAATGTAATCCTATAGGACTGAATTCTTGGAAAATGACATCAACATGAAGTACTAAGTGCCAAGTGTCTGACTCAGGATTTGAAACCGGACAAAGTCATCTTTCACCTCTAATTTTGCTTTTTCCAAATTTGATTATTTCTATAAAAATAAGATATTTTATAGCAAAAAAAGAGCAGATGCTGTGAACTTAAATATAAGTCTAATTTTATGGAAGACTTACCATGAATATAGTATTTTGTGTCAAGAAGGCATAAAATAAATGTACTTGTCCTTTTTAGGGTAGAGATGGGTTTAAATAGATAAGTACATCCTTACACCGATGTAGTCAAATGGGAGATCATTGTATTGCATTGATTAAAATACAACTACAGTAATTTAAAATAATATTTGCTACAATTATTGCAACATAGTGAAAGTAGTTCTAAGTGGTCGGACTAGAGAATTCATTTCAGGAATATCAATAAACATTTCTACATGGTTTTTCCAGAGGTAACTCTTTTTAAAGAAGATTTTATTAAATGGAATAATGCATATAGAGCAATTTTGTCCAATTCCCTTTGTACCTTAAATAACCACCAGCTTCTGGTAGATCATATGAGCTAAAAAGAGAATACTGGGATTGGACTGATAGAGAAGAAAAAAAAACTCAAAAAGGCCGATGAGGTATAACCATGAAGTCACACATCTTTAGTGTCTGTTATTTATTTTATCATATAGTGAAGTGATTTCTATTTCTATGGAAAGGCTGAGGAATAACATGTGATAGCTCAGACATTTTAATAGGACAACTGAATCTTATTTTAGCATGGTATAAGGACATCCACTGTGTGTGGTTTCTCTAGTTACTCCTATGATTTCTGTAGCTCTTTAGAATGCTCCCCTTGGTTCCTGTGCTTAGTGAGATGCTTACTGAATTTGTTAGGCAACCTGATATGCTTTTGATCTCTTATGGGTGTCAGCAGCCTTTCTTGATGTAGTCATGCCAAATGATGGCTTCTGTTCCAGTGCCTTTCTTGGGCAGGAGTTGTAGCATTTGCCACATAACTTAAATCAGCTTAGCATGCACAGAGCATTGAGTAATTAAGTTACAGGAAGTGAACAAGATGGACAAAAATGCGCTCATGTATATTCTCTCCTCTGTTCTCTCTCTGAATACTGACTAGAAAATATGCTCAAAATTAATCAGTATGTCCAAGTGGAAGCAACAAGTGTGTTGAGAGATACGTAAAAAAGAATCAGCCTCTGTGTAAATTGTTTATATTTAGTGATCAGCTTAAAACTGTAGATTTGTAAATATTATTGTAAAAATTGTAAAATGTAGACACATTTTTCTTTTTTAAAAAAAATTATTTATTTTTACTTGAAAGAGTTACAGAGAGAAAATGAGATACAGAAAGACAGAACTTCCACCCACTGGTTTGCTTCTCATGTGATTACACTGGGAGAACTTGGCCTATCCGAAGCTGAAAGCCAGGAGCTTCTTCCAGGTCTCACGCTTGAGTGAAGCAACCTGAGTATTGCTTTCTGAATCCCGTTTTCAGGGAGCTTGATTGGAAGTGGGACAGTGGGGATTTGAACCAGTTCCTATATATGATGCCTTTATCCACTATGCAAAGGTGCCAGCATCTCTAATAATATTTGAAGGCTTTGTATAGTATTCCTAACTCATTTATTGGTTAGTCTTTGTGTTAATATATTTCCTTAATTATGTAATTTCAATGTTATAATTTATGCAGTATACTTAGCTATCCAAGTAAAATGAGAGTTTTAGAATAGTAATACTTTTAACTGCTATTATGTTCCTCCTAGTATTTTCCCAAACTTTTAGTACTACTGTTTTTGTTAAAAGATACTGCTTTTTATCATCATTAGGTAACATTGACAAATATATTTAAGTATGCTACCATTTTTACATCCCATTTTCTCCATTTGCATTTGTTGTTATTTCAGTGAAAGTAGCATTGAAAGTGCTGAACTTTTTTTTCACCCTTGTTGATGAATAGCTTTTCTGGGTGTAGAATTTTTATTTAGTTTTGATTATTGTTGGGATGACATGTTCTGATATCTATTAATGATAAGCAGTTTATTAATATCCACCTTTTTTTGCTTTTGAGATGTTTAATTTTCTTATCTGTATCATTGGTTTTTCCATTGCTATATATTTTATAAGTGTATTCCTTTATAGTTCTTTATCTTGGTCTCTATTTTTAGAAAACAAAGAGTGATGGCTTCCTGAATATCTTTGACCTCTTCAGCTGCTGTTTATTCATGTATTACTTCATCAGTTTTTTCTCCTTTTCCTGCAACTCTTTTCAGACAGTTTTTGGAGCTTCTTCATCTATTTCCCTTTGTCTCCTAAGAATTTTTTTAAAAAAATTTTATTCTACTCCACATTATTTTAAACTTGTTTTCCAGTTCATTCATCTTTTCATCAATGCTATCCAATCTAGTGTTCATATTATCAATATAGTTCCTTTTAAGTGGTAATCTTTGTTTCCAGGATTTTTGTGATATTTTTATCATATTAATTTTCATTATTCTTACTTTGTAAAATTATTTTCTCTATCTTAGTGATATTTTCAGTTTTCTTTCATCTGAAATGAATTAATCTCAAATTTGTTGAATTAAACATTATCTTTGTTCTCATTGGCTTCCACTGTGATGTCAGAATGTCAGTCTTAAAACGGGATTAAAGTTATGGCCTTTGAGCTCAATCAACCTTTTTTATGGGTTAAGGTCAATGAAAGCAAAGCCATAGCTAGTCATTTATATACCGTCTGAAAGTACTTTTGTGCTGCAGCTGCAGAGACCATATATCGGTTTGTCCTTCCATCTTTTCCTGCTCTTAGTTCCCAGATCCCTCTTTGTCTTGATTTTTAAAGTTGCTTTACTGAAACTATCTTTGGTACTCAGGTGGCACCAGAGCATCCATCAGCAGCATGAGACTGCTGACCCATAGACATGTAAGTTTTATTGCAAATGCAGTGTTATTTAAGATCTTAG